CTTTCGCTCTCGCTCTTGTAACCTTTTGTGCAGTAACGCTCTCACTTATAAGCTGTTGCTGCAACCACTCTCCTCTCTCTCTTTTTTTCCGATTTCGCTTTAAGCATTGCTCTAAGCATTTGCTCTGCACAGTGGTCTGATTGCTATTTGTTTTGAACTTTTTTTTCCCGAAGTAAAAAAAAAATAAAAGACATAAATATGGAATTTTCTGTGGTCTGTGCCAAAAAAACCTGCAAGAAGCAGATCACCCATGACCAGCCCAATATCCCCTGCTGGCTTTGCGAAAGCGTAGTGCACGCAAAATGTGTAGGGATCTCGGGCCGTGTAGGAGACGCCATTTCCCAAAACAACGGCCTACATTATAGTTGTGAGGAATGCCGTGCTGTGGAAAACGACATGCGTTCGTTCATGAGGCAGACGCGGAGTGGCTTCAAAGAGCTGATCGTAGGCTTTAAACAGCAGTATGATCGGCTCTTGGCCATGAACACTCAGTTCAGCAGTTTACAGCTGCTGGCTGAGTCTCCGAGGCGCAAGAAGTCTACTCCGCGGGACTTGCAAGTGCCGACTGCCTCATGTCCGCCGGCATCTGAAAAACTTACTCCGACCACTCCCTTAGTGCAGCAGTTGATTACGTTTGCTACTCCAAGGGCAACGATCGCTGCTGGTGATGCAGATTCGGGAGCCGAATGCGTCACTTCGGAGAGTATGCAGTTAGAAATGTCTGTAGAGTCCGTGTCCATCGAGTCCGCACCCAACCCCTTAACTATCCCCTCAGTTTTGCTCCCACCAGCTAATAGATGTCCAGGACCACCGGATACTGCCATCACAGGTACTAGGCCTGTGGTGCCAAAACCACTGGTGGGAGTCCCACCAAAGCGACAAGTTTTTGTCTCGCGGCTAGCCCCTGACCTCACATCCAATGATGTGACCGCTTTTATACAAAGCAAAATAAAAGCCGTCGGCTTAAAGGTGGAAAAATTTAACTTTTCTTACGCCAGGGAGATATCTTCCTTCAAGATAAGCGTCTCCCCAACTCAATTTGAAACCATTTGTTCCGCCAAGTTTTGGCCAGAGCATTTGGTGGTTAAAGAGTTTAAGGCTAAGAAAAAGAATAGGCCCCCCATTACTCTTCCTAGCATTCAGACCAGTGCTCCATCTCTATCCTCATCTTCCACCTCTACTTCCACCCATCCAAAAAACTAACTTCCTCTCTTGTAGTTACCTACCAGAATGCTAGAGGCTTGCGTAGTAAGCTCAGCACTCTTTTCCTTGAGAGTCTCGCATTCTCATCCCACGTTATTGTGTTCACCGAGACCTGGTTAAAGCCGGACATCCTTAGTTCCGAAGTTTTGGCAGGTCGGTACACAATTTTTAGAAATGACCGTTCGTCTCGACGTGGAGGTGGGGTCCTTATTGCAGTGGACTCAAATTTCACGTCGGAACATTTCATGGTCCAGGTTCAACAAGACCTGGAATTCCTGTGCGTAAAACTGATTCTCCCAGGCTTTTCCATTTTCATTACTTGCTCGTATATTCCACCTTCCTCGGATATCTTAATATACGAGCATCACCTGACCGCTTTAAAAACTGTTTCTTCCTCGCTATCAGATAAAGACCATATGATAGTTCTTGGTGATTTTAATTTGCCAGGTGCTGTTTGGTCTTCGGTAAACGAGTCTAATAACCTTGTGCCCATGTCACGACATGACTTTATCGACGGCTTGCTAGACCTATCCCTGTCTCAAGTCAACCATGTGAAAAATTCCTTGGGTCGATTGCTTGATCTGTGCTTTGTCTCGGATCCGACCATAGCGTTGTTAACCCGAGCCCTTCCGCTCAGTATACCTGAAGACTCCTACCATCCTACATTCGAAGTGTCAGTCGATATTGGCCCTACTGTATTGGATCGAATGAGTAGGCTATCTGAACGTGTCCGCTGCTTTCGTAAAGCCGAGTTTACGAAGCTTAATAACCTTATTAGGGATTTTGATTGGTCCGCTCTGTACTTGTGCACTGACGTTATGAAAGGCACACACATTTTTTACAATGTACTTGACACATTTTTTGATTCTTGTGTCCCACTTTCTTGTCCGGTTATATCTGGAAAGCCTCCTTGGTTTACCAAGGAGTTATCCAGTCTAAAAAATTTAAAATCAAGACTTTATAAAAAATTTCGAGAATTTTTTCTCCCTCTTCTCTTTCTCACTATGTAATAGCTCGGTCAAATTTCTCCGTTCTTAACGCTCAATGTTATAAAAACTACCTATCTCGATGCAGGATACGATTTTCACAGGACCATAAACAGTTTTACAGCATTGTAAATAGTAAGCGTAGAACGTCCGCACATCCATCCTCGTTATCTTTTCTCAATATGTCAGCAAACAATGATCAGGCAATTGCCGATCTTTTTGCCAAATTTTTCCAAACAACCTATTCTCATGAAAGCTACTCTGGTCAGCCGTATCCATACAGTTTACCAAGGTCGAATGGCATCTTCAGCCCCTTGTTAAATGAAAGCTCACTGCTTCATGATCTTCGACTAGTTAAGCCGGTGTTTTCACCAGGTCCCGACGGAGTTCCCGGCTGTGTACTCAGGTACTGTTCCGACGCTCTGTGTGGACCCTTGCTTAAACTATTCACCCCATCCATTAACTCTTCATGCTTCCCCCCATCTGGAAGGAATCTTTTATTATTCCGCTCCATAAGAAAGGTAGCAAGTCTGATGCAAATAATTATAGGGGTATATCTAAGTTATCCGCTATTCCTAAAATGTTTGAAAAAATTTTAACTCCGCACTTGCAACATCTCTGCAAATCACTTATATCTCCGTCCCAGCACGGATTTATAAGGCGACGATCAACAACCACAAACTTATTAGAGTTTACCTCTTTTATCATTAAAGGCTTTCAAGGTAACTTGCAGACGGATGTCATTTACACTGATTTTAGTAAAGCATTTGATTCTGTAAACCATTCCCTTTTAGCACAAAAACTTGACCTTTTAGGGTTTCCGCCTAATCTTTTGAGATGGATTTCTAGCTACCTTTGTTCTAGGTCTCAAAGAGTCCTCTTCAAAAACTCCTTCTCTTCACCTGTTAAGGTTACTTCTGGAGTACCACAGGGCAGCCATCTAGGCCCCCTACTATTCACACTCTTTATTAATGATCTGCCTTCAGTATTAACAAACTCTCGAGTACTCATGTATGCGGATGATGTTAAACTTTGTGTCCAGTATAAGGACATTTCATTTCACTCTCGCTTGCAATCCGATCTCAATAACTTTCAATCATGGTGTTGTGCAAATATGTTACACCTAAATGCCTCGAAATGCAAAGTAATGACATTTCATCGCTCCAGCCCCCTATTGGCTCATTATAGCCTCTGCGGTGGTTCTCTTGAGAGAATTACCTTGGTTGATGATCTTGGTGTTAAATTAGACCCAAAGTTGAAGTTTTCTGAACACATTTCTACCATGGTAAATAAGGCCATGGGTGTGCTTGGGTTTATAAAGAGGTGGTCAAAGGAATTTGACGACCCCTATATAACGAAGACTCTCTATATCTCGCTTGTTCGTCCGATTTTAGAATACGGCTCTTGTGTATAGTGCCCCCAGTACAAAGTATACCAGGACCGTATAGAATCAGTCCAGAAAAACTTTTTACTTTTTGCTCTGCGTGGCCTTAACTGGGATGCAGGTGTGAGACTGCCATCTTATCCTCGTAGATTGCTTTTAATAAACCTTCCAACCTTAGTTAGTCGTAGAAAAATGCTTGGTGTGATTTTTATGCACAACCTGATCAAGGGTGATGTAGATAGCCCTGACTTGTTGAGCCGCATAACTTTACGATTCCTATTAGATCTACTAGAAACTTTATTCCTCTTTTCCTTCCGCTTTGTAGATCGAATTATTCCTTGCACGAACCATTTAGGGTACTTTGCTCGGACTTCAATTCCCTTTACCACATAATATCAACTACTAATTCCCTTCCTCTTCTTAAATCACTAATACTAACATACCTTTCCCGTAATTAGTTATATTTTTTAGCTATCTTTGCATGCTTAGCTCTTTGAGTTGTGTTTAGCTCTAATTTTCCTCGAATTTTAGTCTAACACCTATCTTTCCTGCATGCTCGCGATCGGTTCGGTAACACGCGTCGCGCGTCATGCGGCAGCGCCCCTCGGTCGGTTGGGCGGGAGGAGGGCTGCGTTTCTGCCTGGGTTCCGCGCGTAACAGGCTTCGGCTTGATGTCGCATGGGCCACTTGATGGTGCAGTCATTGCATATCAACGTCCAGACAAAAAAAAAAATATATATCGGCGGCAATGAACGGCAAGCTGATGATGAAGTCTGCGAGCTGTCGCTCCATGAAAGCAGACCCCATCCTCTGTGCCAAATATTATAATCTGAACTACCTCAAGAAATAAATCATTACGCAACCATTTAAACCCGCGTGTAAAACCTTTTCTGGGACAACGAATCCGCCCCCTAAGGAACGTCCGCTGCCGCTACATGTGTACATATACAATAAAAATGTTTCCCGACTGAATTTTAATATTAATAATTCGCCCCATTGGTTTAAAGTTAGTAAATATGAGTGTCCACATTTCATTGTCCGCTACTGCTCTCGTTGCGAACTTACTCTTTAACATACATACATATCTCTCCCGTTTAACTGCGCATAATTAATGTCAATAAACTGTACGTATACCCCATCAGTGGTCGGCACGCACAAATTCAAATGTTATACATTGCCATTGTGTGCGTATACAGCAGGCAAAACGGATCATTGTATTGTTTCCAACCACTGTATTACACGTGTACGTGAGCGGCAGCACAGCAGCAGCGCCTTTTCCACAATAGATAGGTCCGTGCCGACCACTGACCTACATACATCAAACAAACAAAAATTGCCTTATTTATATAAGCCTTATGGCTAGTAAAAAAGCGTAATTACTTAGCAATGGGTTATATCTTATATTTCGACTCTAATAATTCACTTACTTTCGTCGATAAGGGGTAAAACTTCCGTTATCATCGGATTCGTCGACACTAACTGATGATTCTTCAGATTCCGAGCATCGTAATGGTGTATTAAGCGGTGGACTATTATTAGGTTTGTTGGTTGTGTGTGGACGGTTCCCAGAAATCGTGTTAGATCGGAAACCATGATTTGATCCAAGGTTTAGTTGATTGCTGCAGTCGCTTAAGGTTCGATTTCTTGTTGGTAAACTATCACACCGTTCTCTTCCATAAGCTGAAAAAATAACATTTTCTTATTTAAAATAAATACATACTTCAAAAGGATGTATTCACAAATTGATTTAAATTAGCAATAAAAAATCTAAAAAAGTTTTACGAATGAATATCTGCAATGAGTGGATACGTTCAGTTAAGATTTTTTTAATGTTTTTACGTCGACAGAAAGACACGAAGTGCATCTACAATGTCGATTCCACATCTAAAATGTAGATTACACTAGTCAACACTAGAATTAGGCTGTGGTCCAAAATATAGATTCTTATAGATTTCGGGGTTTAAAAATTTAACGAATTATGGTTTTTTTATGGTGTAATTTTTTTTTAAAGATTTTTTAAAATCTGGTATTTTTTTTCATGGTTTTTTTCAGAGGTTGTGCTTCTATTTTTCACATAACTTAAGTATCTTATATCTAGTTGCATAGACCTTTGCAGTTCTGAAAAGCTGACAAATGCAGCTATAAATCCGACACAGACAATTTGTAGCTGTACCTTAACGCCTGGAAGATATGTATTAGCTTATAAATTCTAATTTCATTATTTTTTGCGGTATTTTTACCAGAAATTTTGAATCAAATTTATCACATACGTTTAAAAACTTGTAGCAACATAACACCAAATAAAAAACGAAAAACACAACGAAAAAAAGGAACTGTCAACAACATTTAATGTCAAAGGAACACGTTTAGTTTAGAAAGATCCATTAATTAGGAGTTGTTTAAAGGTATCGTTTGAAAGAATCGATGGATAAACGGCCAAGTTGCAGCCGTTTAACCAAAACAACTCAAAACTAATTTTACCTGAAAAATACCGATAGGTACGTTGCTGGTCCAACTGCCAAAATGGGATTGAAAAAGGACCTGTAATTTTGGTTTTACCGAGTCCTAGGTACTATTACTCCAATGCTGTAGAGAAAACCAGAGATTCACGGCTCTTAATGTTTCTTTTCTTCATTCAAAATAACTGGAATCGGGATATCCATGAAATGGGGTTACCCGAAACAACCTGTTCAAGGCTTTACGCTTCCTGCTCCTCCTTTAGAAGAAATATCGCCACTAAAACGCAAAAAAGAGCTGTCGTCTTCGTCGCATTGAACAACGGATTGAAGTAATGACCAATCAGGAGAATACAAATATTGCAAGCTTCTTTCACAGGAACAATTGAACGATTTTGTGGGGGTTGACAGCAGTATGGAAAGTTAAAAGGCTGTTTTGTTACACAATGGAAACCAAAAGTCGTCTGTTCCTATGCTGTTAATATGAAGAAAACATATCAAACAATGGCTAAATTTTTTGAAAATATAAATCGTAAAGAACACCAGTTCAAGGTCACGTGTGACTTAAAAGTCGTAGCCATGTTAACGGGATTGCAAGGTGGTTACACAAATTCTGCTGCTTCCTGTGCCTATGGGATAGTAGAGCTAGAACTAAGCACTACTCAAGAAAACTCTGGCTAAAACGGGAGGAAAATACATTGGAGAATTATAACATACACAATGCAGCTCTGGTAAAAATTAAAGACGTTATTTTACCACCATTACACATTAAGCTGGGATTAATGAAAAATTTGGTTAAAGCACTGGTGAATCGATGAGTTACCTAAAAACTGTTTAATTACACTAGCCAACACTAGAAGTAGGCTGTGGCCCAAAATATATATTCTTATAGTGTTCGGGGTTTACATATTTTTAATGAATTATGGTTTTTTTTTTATGGTGTAGTTTTTTTTTAAGAATATTTTAAAATCTGGTATTTTTTGTTTGTTTTTTTTTTCAGAGGTAGTGCTTCTATTTTTCACATAACTAAAGTATATGTATATATCTGGTTGCATAGAATTTTCAAACTTTTAAGCTTTCAAATTCAAATTTAATCATTTTTTTGCGGTATTTTTTATCGAAATTTTTACTTTAAAAACTGGGGAAAAGTCGAAAAAAAATTATATCCTGTGACCTCTATTTTTTTGTGGTTAGGTGCGTCTAGGTGTATAGGTGCGTATAGGTGTATTAGGCGCCGTTTAAGGTATTGATCATTACCGCAAAAAAATGATGAAATTTGCTTAATATCTTCCAGGCGTTAAGCTGCAGATACAAAAGGTCTGGGACGGATTTATAGCTGCATTTGTTAGCTTTTCAGAACTGCAAAGTTCTATGCAACCAGATATAAGATACTTAAGTTATGTGAAAAATAGAAGCACAACCTCTGAAAAAACCATGAAAAAAATACCAGATTTTAAAAAAATCTTAAAAAAAAATTACACCATAAAAAAAAAAATAAAGTACTAAAAAAAATTTTTAAATCCCGAAATCTATCCGAAGAAGTCATTTTGGTTCACAGCCTAAATAAAAAGTTCAATTTTGGCGAGTAGTGTTATCATTGTAATTATAATGTCAGAAAGTATATTTTCAAAACTATGCAAAGTATACACCAAATGCATAACAAAGAAATGCCAAAGTAGGGCAAATGACTTTGAAAATATTTTAACATAATCTCTGATATAATAAAAATCTGAAGTAAAAAAATATATATATTATATTTATATATATACACTCATGGACAAAATAATAGGTGTTTTTTTTTCTTTTTCAACTTTTAATTTCTAGTTCATATCTTCTCTAATCTCAACCAATCAAAGTTTTTTCAAATCTTATATTAATTGTCTTTAAAGAAGAAGAAGAAGAAAATTAAATATTTCCTTAAATCCGTAAATTTTGGCTGGACACAATAATAGGTGTACGAAGATAAATGTTTAAATTAAATCGATATTTCACTATTTTAGGTCTTGTTTTATATTAAATTGAGTGTGTGGCAGCTGGTATCTGGTCTGGTGCTGGTATATCCGCCATTATTTTGTAGGGCTTTCTCCATTTGTCTTGGCATGGAGGATATTAACTTGCAACAAGTTCCAATTGGAATGTTGTACCTACTCTTTGGACAATATCCCAAAGTTGATTTTTATTTTGTCAAAAAGTCTTTCCGACCTCTCTTTTGAGTTCACCCCAGGGATTTTCGATTGGATTTAGGTCCGGGGATTGACTTGGCCACCCAAGAACATCCACAGTTTGCTCCATAACAGTTTTGTCCATAAGTGTAGTTCTGGTAATAATACAATACTTATACCAGCAAGATCAAAAGTTGTCCGAAAAATCGAACTAACTTCAAGTGAATATAGTGTGCTAATTCCAAACCAGGAAATTCAAACTGGTATTTATGTTGCAAACACCATTGCAACCGCTGGAAACGTATTTATACGATTACTGAATACAACCAGTACCGACCAACTGGTAAGAATAACTAATCTAAAACACGAATTATTTTAAAACTTCGATATAGTTCAAACAAACACAGGAAGTAGAAGGAAGACGTTATGTCTCGATTATCCGAAAATTTTCCACAACGGTTTAAATCAAAACGAGAAGGAACGTGCGAGTGTCGCTTCTGGGGACGGGACTCTACTTATATCCGTACTCAGTTAGTATATACATTTTTGAGCATTTGTTTGTTTGTTTATTTTGATTTTCCTAGTGCTACAAGGTTGTACCTTATTATTAGTGCACTAGTCACAAAAATTTCAATACGATTAATTATTAAATGAAATTGGATTAGATTGAATATTTCCTATAGCTAATTTTGCTTAATTTTATACACATTTTTAATTCTAAATTTATATTTAAATATCTCCTAAGCATAATAGATTCTTAATTTTATTTTGAGGTATGTTATTCTTTTTTCTTTTAATTTAGAATTTTCAGATGTATAGTCAAATTTGTCCTGAATCTTAATGCGTCTACAGTTGTTTTTAAGCTATTTGGTAATTGGTTCCATAGGCGAACAGTGTAAATTAAAAAGTGTCTTTCAGAGCTAGCTAGTCTGTGCTTAAGACATACTATATTATTTGTTCTTCGTGATGCAGTAAACCTTAGTATGTCTGATAGATATGGTGGTTCTTTCCTGGTTATAATTTTATGTAAAAATATTAATGCTCGCGAGTCAATCCATTTCGTTAAACCCATACCAAAAATTCTGACTTCATGAGTGGTTATATTCTCCCTCTTTCTTATATTAAACACATATCTTGCTATACTATTGAATACGACGTTCAGTTTTTGCTTACAACTACTATCACAGTTTGCAAATAGCTCTACGCCATAAAAAAGTGTTGGTATCAATAGTGTTTTAGCAACTAAGAGACGAATATTTTCTGGAAGGTAACGTTGTGTCATGTTTAAAGTTCTTAGCAAACCATAGGTTCTACCTACGACCTTTATAATGTGATCATTCCATGTAAGCATGCTATTAAAAACCACTCCCAGATTATTTGCTGTTGTTGTGTATGTAATGGTATTATGATTTATTTTTATTTTGCGTAGGTTAGTAAGTTCGACTTTCTTCTTTGAGATTACTAGGCATTTAGATTTAGTTGGGTTTAATCCTAGACCGTTATTGTTTGCCCAACTGCTTATGTTTGTTAGTTCCCTATTGGTTATTATTGCACACTCATTTATGTTATTTACGGGACGGCATACATACATTTGGACGTCATCAGCATATAAATGGACTTCACACTCAGACAATACGTTGGGAAGGTCATTTACATAAACAGTAAACAATAATGGTCCAAGGATAGATCCTTGCGGAACTCCTCTCGTAGGGGACAGAGATGACGAGTTCCCAAATTTCGTGACTACAGATTGTGATCGATTTGTCAAGTATGAATGAATTAGTTCGGTTGCAGTGCTGTCCAGTCCATATAGTCTTTGTAGTTTTGTACACATAACCTCGTGATTGACGGTATCGAATGCTTTGCTATAGTCTAATAATGTCAAGAATGCCACCTGTCCTTCATCAATTTGTTTACGGATGTCTTCACTGACTTTAAGGATTGCAGAGATACAGCTCCTGTTTTTCCTAAGCCCCGATTGTTTTTCATTAAGCAGTTTATTACTTGCCATATAGTTACTAAGTTGGGTTGAGAGCAATCGTTCAAGAGCTTTTGAAAGAAA